GTCCCTCAGAACTCTATGGCTGTCTCAATTCACGGGCTGCATCCTCATGACTAYGTGGCCCACCTGGACCACGTCCTTCCCAGTCCAGGTAGGCTGCTTGAAACTGCAGTGAAATGAGACGGTCTAGCCTTCACTTGACGTTGGCTGACGTAAGTTTGGTACCCCCTTACCGTAGTGATTAGGGATGTCCCGATCCAGATTTTTTTTGGCTCCCGATACAATCCGATTTTTTTTAGTGATTAGTCTTTCCGATACTGATCCGATAGCTTTATTTCATTTCTTTCCAAGTGACAAGGTCGGTAGTATTAAAGCGAGTAGTTTGCGGATTTTGAAAGCTGCAGTTTCAGCATCATTGTTTTCCATTGAAAAGTGTTCCCACACTGTGGACATGGTTGCATACTTGTGTGCGTCTTGACTTCTTAACGGCAGTTGTAAAGCATGATGATGCTGAAAACTGTCGCGAAAACTGGATCACTTGACTAAATCCAATTCTACCCAATTTTCAAAAAATGACCATGTACCACCGATACGGATACCGAGTATCTGATCGGGACATCCCTAATAGTGTTTGGTTTCATATCAGACTTAAAATACGTTGGGACATGTATTCACACGTCTTTTCATCCAAAGAATAACTTCACAGTTAAAATGTAACAAATGAATAAAAAACTTTTAAAATTCGGGTTTAGCTCCAGTATCAGTACTTGTAATTGCATTTTATTTAGCATCTTATTACAGCACGAGTTTCATCAGCTAAGTAACTAATTTTTTAGTCCGTGATGAATTTCCAAACTATGCCGACTCGTTAAAAAAAACTCCACCGTCTTCGTCTCTGTGTTTAGTTTGCTGTCGGCACATTGAATCCTGGGATATCCTTGGCCGGTGAGGATACACGGAGTCATCCTTGTGGGCCGCCTCATGAGGAGCCTTCGAATTGGGACAGTACTTGGCCTATGTGCGCTCGTGAGGATGCAGCCCCTGAATTGAAACAGCCTACATTTTTTTTTTCCCCAGAAAAAGCGAGTCATTGTCATATWATAGTTTGGTCATCTGTATTTCTTCCCACTTCTTGTTAAACGTAAACTCATCCTTTTAATATTTGTTTGACTGATGGAGCTACAGCCTGAAGGCAAACTGGACACATTTTGTGGTTAAAGGCGAGGAAATCTCTTTGGAAACATTCAGGATCGTGTAGGTTTAATCATGTCTTGTTAGGAAACAAACAAAAACCAGTTTGGTGCGTTGTGAAGGGAAGCCGGTAGGTTCGAGGGTTAGGTCATTCGGTCCTCTCTGGTGTCACATTTCAGGGAAATTTTCAGGCAGAATCAAAGTTTCGGCTGAGTGCTGGTAACTCAGCACATGAATGACCTAAGAGGAAGTAATAAAATCGCATGACAGGCGAATGCAGGATGTTTGGCTTCATGCCTCATCGGCACACGTTTCACATTCCGCCTAAAGACACTTTAAACCCAGCGGCTTATATTTGTCCATCAGCGAGGCTCACATTGCGGGACGTCTCGCCTGTTTGTTACCATTCGGAACATTCTGCCGGTGTCAACACACTTTCACAGTCTGATTCTGTCGTAACGAGTACAGATGTCTTTCAAAGGGTTGTGCAACTGGTTTTAACGAGGGCCTTTAATCTGCAGGTTTTTACTTTATTGTTTAATATATAAAATGACAAGGAAAGCACATAAAATGACTGATTTGTTCCAGTTAATCATTACAAACAAGTCATTAAAATAAAAGATTCTAAATGTTATCTTTCTGTGTTTTTATGCATTGCCTGCAATGTGAGTTCGCACACAGTTTTCAAACTTCCTGTTTGGTGTTTGAGGCTGGTTTTGACTCTATTTTCAGCCTGAAAGGTGTGTTATGACTTTGAAGTTCACATAAAATATTAGTTTGCCCCTTTGCAATGCCTTATGAAAACATACTGCTAAGGACATTTGATTTTTTTACACTCACACATGCCCACACTTTCTGCAGATTGTGTTTCAGTGCCAGAACACCACAGCTGTAAGCAGCACTCGGTGTGTGAACATTCAGAGCAGATGCTGCTATGATGCCAGTAGGAGTGCGAAGCTGAGACTTTTTTTTCCCTCCTAAACTTCTGTTTCWTTTTGTGTGTGCTGTAAAAGTACTTTGAGTCATCTGTGCAGCTGTTCTGTCGTAAACACAAAATTCAAAACAACAAAGTTTTAGAAATTCTTTAGCAGATTTTTGTTGTATTTGAATCTAACACAGCWCAGTTTCACATCTGAATGTGCACATACCTTTTTTAAAACTTTTGTTTTTTTAAAGGGGCAATAAAAGTGTTTCTCAGGCATATATTTAAGTACTATACCATAATAAAGTGTCTATGTCACCTTTAGCTGTTATTAAAATGCTGTTTTTATGTTTAAATAGAAAATAAACTTATTTTCTCATCACTGCCTCTTCTAAACRCCTTGAAATTGGCCTCTGTCTCTTTAAGAACCACCTTCCACTTCTGTCTTGCCCATTTCGGTGCCGGGCGGGGGGCTGCCATGATGCAGTTTACTTGGCATCTGAAAACACATTTCCTCAAAGGTATTTTTAATCTGAAAAGTACTGAGACTGCGAGGGAACATGGGAGTATTTTTTTATTTTGCGTTCGGCAGGCAATAACTTTGCGTTACCTCGCAATACCTTTGCGTTACCTCGCAATATTGTTTTGCGTTCCCACGCAAAAGTTTGATTTGTATATGAACTGAATTAAATCAGACTTTTATTTTTGAAATATCCGTTACCAAAAGAGGATGTCTCGCCACAAGTTCGTGAAATTGACATTGATGTTGCGTGGCTGCACTGTGTTAAAATATCGTCGTAAGACATACTTCCGTACGTGGTTGTGTGATATATTCATTCTAAAGCTGAATAAAAGCAGTAGGCTAACTTGCTAATGGTAAACGTGAGTTTGTTAATAAACCGGCAGGCACAACAGTGATAAATGACTTTTGCGTGGGAACGCAAAAAGAAAAAAAAATCCCCCACGTCCCCTCGCGGGCTCCGTAGAAAAGAGCTTCACTGACTGAGAACTAATGTTGAGAGCTCAGTAGACAGATTAAGTTTCACTTTCACCCGAGAGCCTGCAGGAGTCATGGGTGGGGCGTGTGGGGAAGGGGGGGCGCTCGGCCATGAGGAAGCACGGCTTAAAGACACGTCCCAGGGGCGTATCTGGTCCCCACCTGTCGTTTTGCTCCTCAGCATGGCTTCCTAAAAACGCTGCAGGATTTCTCAAACATGCATGAATGAGTCAGAGCAAGGCTTTGGGCATGTTTTTTATGAGAGTATAACATTAAAACATGATATAAAACTCAAAAAAGTTGATTTTACATGATATTGCCCCTTTATATATTTTAGGTTGTTGCAGATAAATAAGGTTTACCGATATGTCGTCTGAGATGTCCTCATAAGGTTTTGGGATATAGGATTTCAGGTCTTGTTGCCCTCAAAGTCCTACAATGAGACAGGTGGTTGTGTTGTGTCTGATCTGCTCTCTTCAAAGTGACACTCTGAACAGATTCTCTGGCTTACATCTGTCCCTTCTCAAGGATTTTCTTCTTGACGTTTATTTGAAGTAATATGTTATAAAGAAGCAAGCTGGGTCTTCCTGTAACACTGATCGTTAAAATGTAAAAACCAAGAAAACATCTGCAATCAAACAATTATATGCTAATAGTCTTAAAAAATTATACCTCTTCACCCTAAAATGAAATAGACAATCATTGAACAAATGCACTTCATCTGCTTTGCATTCCAAAGTTTTAAATGAAATGATTTGTTAGGACTCAGTGTGTGTGAAGAGGATGATGTTGAAGCCATTTTTGTGTATGAGGTCACATAGCTGTGGAAGTTAGCTTTTCTTTTTTTAGCAGAATCTCATGAACGTTGTCAACATCTTCAGTAGTTGGTACAAAAATGCCTCTAAAACTCCCATACAAGGTTAGAGATTTAGAAGTGACATCATGTCACAGATATGTTTGGAGTTGAGGCCCTCAGATTCTCCGACCATCGATGTAGATCCAGTTCCCAGGAAGTTTGGAAGAAAAAAAAAACGGGTCAAGTTCACGAGTCCCCGTGTTTTGCTTTGTTCTTAACTGTTTAACCTTTGAGAAAAGTAAAAGAAAAAAATAGAATAAAAAACTAAGAAGAGGCTAACACATAGCTACAAGTGGCCAAATGACAGTTAAAATATTAAAAGTAGTAAAATGGTAGCAAGAAGCTAAAAGTAGAAACATACTAGCTACAAGTAACAAGCAGCTAATTGAAAGCTAAAAGTAGTACAATTGGTAACTAAAAAGTAAAAGCAGCAAAAGGCAGGAATATCAAAAGTAGCAAAATGGTTGTAAGAAGCTAAAAGTAGCAAAAGGCTGGCTAAAATCTCAAAAAGTAGTAAAACGGTAGCTAAAAGGTAAAAGTAGCAAAAAGCTAGATAAAAGCTAAAAATATAAAAAGTAGCAGAATGTTAACTAAAAGGTAAAAGTAGCATAAGGCTGGCTAAATGCTAAAAATATCAAAAGTAGCAAATTGGTAGCAAAAAGCTAACAGTAGGAAAACTAAGAAAAGATATGTAACAAACAGCTAACKGAAAGCTAAAAGTAGCAAAAGGCCGGCTAAAAGCTCAAAACATAAAAAGTAGCCAAATTGTAGCTAAAAGGTAAAAGTAGCATAAGAAAACAAAAGCAGCTGGTATCCTAAAGCTAATWTGAAAGAGAACAATGTTTTTGAAGAAATTGAAGGGATGTTAATGTATTTCTATGAGAAAATATTTGTAAAGTTAATTATTCTGAAAAGTATAAAAGATACAGAAAACAAGTCATAGCACCCATCTTTCCAAACAAGCTGAATGTTTAAATAAAAATGGCTAAAATAGCATAATTTTTAAAAAGTAATATTATAGGAAAAATAATTAAAGAACAATAACAGGACAGGTTCAGTTCACACATTAAATGTTTTCTCTCTGTCGTCCCCGTCAGGAGCCCTGACAAAGGTGAAGGAGAGCCAGAAGCAYGTGGAGGAAGGCAAGATGGACCGGTCGCAGGCAGAGGGCATCAACGACCGCTGCAACATCATCTCCTGCGCCACGCTGGCTGAGATCCAGCATTTCCATCAGATCCGGGTGCGGGACTTCAAGGCCCAGATGCAGAGCTATCTCCAAGAGCAGATCTCTTTCTTCCAAAAGATCACGGGCAAGCTGGAAGAGGCTCTGCGGAAATATGACGACGCGTAGTGGACGGCTCGTTTTAGCCCGTCGGTTTGAGTCCCCGATGATGAATGACTGTGCGCCTCCCACGACCGGTCAGCCGCTGCTACACCTGCCAGTACCGCACACTGCCGAGTGCTGCTAAACCAGCAGAGGGGGGCTCTCTAAGGAGAGGACACTTAATTAAATAATGTGTTTATTTGTTTGAACCCTGGCTGTCATTTCTGTTTGACCACATTTCTGGTTTGACGCCCTTGTTTACAAAAAGACATTCGGGCCAACTTTTAACACGAATAAAAATTCTCACCGTCTCAGACATAAAGATGTCAATAATGATGCTTCACCACTTGGGTGGGGGCGCACGGACGAAATAAATGTTACCATGTAGGGAGGAAATCCTTCATTCACCTCTGCCTTCACATCTGGTGCAAAGTTTTATTACAAGGAGTGTTTTTAAAGCCTTACACACTCTTTTTAAACGGTGGATAAAAAGACCACCACTCCGGGAGCAGAGAAACTTTTGTGGGGCCTAACACAGCRCCTTGTGGAAACACTCCTCCAGGACAAAACCTTCAAGGACAAACAGGACAGATTGTTTACTGAGCAGCCTCTGTGTTGCTGTGCCTTTCTGCTCATTTTTGGTAATATTATAGAAAGATGATGTATTTGTTTTTTTTTTGTTGTTTTTTTACAAAGCTACAATTCAATCACTGCGTCGAACGAGAGCAGTGTGTTCTCTGGAGAATCGTTTGATCCAATTGTGGCTCCTGGATTGATCTTTAAAACGTTTTTGGGGCGGCAGCACCAGAATCAGGGATTACCTGCTTTGACAATTACAATCCACGCTTCACTCCCCAATGCACAGACAGCACTAATGCTGATTTAGGCACGCAGAATCCAAGAGACACTTAATTATCACTTTCTACAGTTAGATCTGAATTTATTGGCAGAATGTTGGCTTTGAGGCTCGAGGCTTCTCACCGGGTCCTTCTGAACTGTACTGATGTTTTTAACCGTTACGATGCCGTTGCAATGGAAAAATTTATTGTAGAAGAAGAGATGCAAATTAAATTCATCCTCCGTAACAAAGTGTTGTCTTGTCTCGTGTTTTGTCAAATAAATGAAGAGGTTATAATGTTTTTATTCCCCGCAGATGAGGCCGCTTCTGAACTACCTGGGACACCTCGTCTGGTCTTTTTCTTAAAGACATCACCATGAAACACGCTTGTTTCATGCCTTTTTTAAGTGTCTGTTCTGGCACAGATCAGAGCTGTTTTCRTGGAAAATACGGTTTGATAACGTGTCTCCAGTTCATGTCTGCTTGTCCTTCCACTGATGCAGCTGTCCTCTGATATTAGCTGCTGCTTCTTATCACAGCTGTGCTGATAAACTGGAGCTGTTTTCTCAAAGTGTGCAGTGGATCTAGTAGTTTGTCCTTCTATAGGTATAAAAAATATCACAAGGTCTTTTACCATTAACCCCTGGACAGATTCGATCTAAATAACTTCTGAAGTCAGTCCAATTCACAAATATTAAACCAAAATGTAGTGTGGTAGTAGCTGAGAGTCGAGTTCTACTCATCACAATCACATTAGATCATTCAACTTTTCACTAAAACAGCTATAACTCCATCTTTTATCAACATATCCTAATCTTAGTTTAAAACTGGTGCGACTGGCTTGTTTTTAAAATATTTAATTACTTTATTAATCTGTGACGGATAACCTCAGTCCAGACCATGACCTTAAAAAATGAACATCTCGAAGGAATATAAACATTCCCTCTACACAAGTTAACTAACACAACGGATAGTGAGCCTTGCAGCACGGTGAAAATTCAAAGACGGCAAACCGCTCTGCAGGTTTCATGTCGGCCTCCCTGGAGGCCTGGTGTGCTGTGTCTGTGTTTCACACTCAGATCTGCTGAGGCCAACCCCACAGCTGGGACATCTGGCCAGAGGTAAAAGTGTCGGGGTGAAGGACGGGGAACACCGAAGGTCAGAATCACAGCATTCGTCAGGGTCGTCTGATTTTAAATCTGCTGCTGAAGAACTCCTCCCTCATTTTGTTTCTAATCTGTTGAGACTAAAAACCCTGCAAACGAAAGGGAAAGGTAGTCAAAGATATCTTCAATGTGGTTTTGTTGTGAAATTTAAGAGTTGAAATGTCAATTTAGCACAAAAAGGTAAGGAAATTTGTGTTTGGTACAAATGGCACAAATGCATGTTCCTTACAAATGTGGCACCATTTAAAACGAGGCTTTCCAGCTGTAATTTCTTGCCAATAAGCTTCGTTACAATAAAGAAATCATCTCCCAAACACACATTTCCTTTTCTTTTGTGCTTAATTTATTTATCTGTATTCATGTTTAGAAATAAAATCATTAAGTAAATCATCAATTATTCATTTTCTCCTCAGCTTCATAAAGATTTCATGTTATTAACATTTTTGGTTCGACAGCCTTTGTTGTTATTTCTCTCTTTCTTTATTCTCGCTTTTCATTTCGGACACAAGCTCTGCTGTAGAATAAATTCCCGYGCTCCAGGCCTCATTTCAACCCGACCAGAACCCGAGGAAATGGGTGCTCCTGTTTGAACGTCCCTYCCCAGCTTGAGGCCATCTCTGCTCTGAATTATTGAAACAGATCATCTTCAGTATCAGAGCTGAAGGCTGTCGTGATGGAAAATAAGATCTGATGACGTGTCTGAGCTCAGGTCAGGTTTCATGACACAGATCAGTCTTTTTATTGTTATTTTTCTGAAATCATGTTGATGACCCTTTTTTTTAAGCCTTCTTATCCTCAAGAACCGGTCGTGGGAATGTTTAACCTTGGGGTTTTTCACTCTCAGTTATCTCTAACTGAAGCAACATCAACACATTTCTGCAGGAATAATAAAATCTAATCTAARCTTCGAACCGTAGTTGTGTTCATGAGACAGAACACTGTCGTCCTCTTGTTCTGTTCTACTGAGACAGAAGTCGAGTGTTTGAGAGCGACGGCCACAAGAGCAGCAACACAAATACGTCCCGGACACTCTGAGCCGGATAACGATGATCTGCTGAGGCCTGAACGACCAGCTTTTCTGCTGAGAGTAAAACAACAACATTTCCCACTAATGAGAAACATCCCAAACCTTATCAACACTCTCATGGGACTTTGCTCTCTTCCCTGTTGGACATGAAGCAGCTCCCAGAAGCATTCTTTAGCTTTTTTTAATCAAAATCTTGACACTCCAAAAGAGAGAGAGAGAGAGAGAGAGAGAGAGAGAGAGAGTCTGTGTGGACCCCCTCCCTGGTGGTCTGACTGCAAAGCTGTGTTACTGCAGTGTTTGTTTTGTAAGAAGGTGAACAGGAGCTGTGAGTTTCTCCTCGTGTTCAGTAGCTGTAGAAGAAGCCTAGCTCTCCTTGAAGAAACAATACCGCCCGCCACCTTTCATGCTTTAGCCTGCACGTTTCAAAATTAAGGCCCGCAGGCCGAATGTGGTCAGTGGGTGACTTCCGTCTTCCGAAATGAGAAAGTTGTATCTCTTTCGCAAAAAAACTTTAGGCTCAGTCTGATGCAACATCATGAGATGCCACATGTTTAGTAACGAAGTACATTTACATCATTACAGTACGTAATTTGAGGATCTCTAATTTTCAAGTTTTTTAAAATATAACTTATTTTTGTTACATTCAAAACATAAAAATGATACTTTTTCTCCTTTACTTTAAAATTGAACACCTCATTACATGCTACAAATTTAAATATGACCTGAACTCATCATGAAAGGAGTTGTTTTTGCACTCTAAAAAACTGGTGTGAGTTACATCAGGTCAGCTGGTTCCTCTAAACCAGGGGCGCCCAAATATTTTCCCTGATAGGGCCAAAACCAATAAACATATTCCATGACAGGGCCAAAATTAAAATCAACCTGAGGGCCATGGGCCAAATGCAGTAATATAATACATGAAATCCAAATACTTCTTAAATAAAGTTGTTTTATTTTTATGAATAAGCTAGCAGCCAGTTTGTCCGTGTTCTTGTTTTTTCCAGCCCATGGAAATGAAGAAAATTCAATGTATGCTCGGGCAGCAAAGGCTCATGGGACTTTTCATAAATTAAAATTTGAGCATATGTGGTCTTATAATGTGTGCAAATCTACATACAGTGGGTAAAATAAGTATTGAACACGTCACCATTTTTCTCAGTAAATATATTACTAGAGGTGCTAATG